TAAGACCTTATTCATAATTTAAACCCAAACCACTAATATAGCTTATTTATCATTAAGGAGGCAAAGTCATACCTCAGTTTAACTTAAACTCGTCCAACCAAAATCTTGAGGTGGAACATATCACTTATGTTGTCATCTCTTTGAGACAACCAGTCTTACTCCATTTATTGTTTATTTAAAGTGAGTATTCCCTGTAGTTTTATTCATCACAAATAAATTAACATGTTTTTCGACCTATTTCTGGCATTTGTGGTACACCCACAATCACTAAATCCTAATCATCAAAGCCCAAAATCGCAGCAAACACATCAATTAGCAATATTTCACAATTTCAGATAAAAGGTACAAATTCATGCAAGATGTCCTGTAACAAATATCTAAAATATCATATTTTTAAACTGCAGGAGAAAGAAAAACAGGATGACAGAACATTCATGCAGTTATGAATGCAACTTAAGTAGCTGAAAAAAAAGAAGTAAAAAATCTCAGGCTTGAACGTGATCTTCACATGAATGAGGCGAAAAAATACCTATTAAGACTAAGACCTCCTAAGCATACTCAAGATTTGTTCAAAATAGCAGGGCTTTGAATTAACTTGTTTTGCGTTTCTTTGTAACACTGAAATACAATGCAATGCAAAAATACAGTTCAGAAAAATACTTCAACCACTTCTCACTGACCATATTGGTCTATGTTTTACTTGCTACTTATACTCACTGAACTTACAGTGCCACATACTATTTGTGACACTTGCAATACTATATACTACAAGATATTCTTAATAATAATAATAATAATAGTAATAATAATAATAGTAATAATAATAATAATAATAATAATAATAATAATAATAAAAGGAGGCTTTACTCACTTTCACAGAGTTCTATTTTGTTAAGGTTACTTCAAACCTTTGCGGGTGTACTCCAGAAAAAAATTCGTATGCGCGCTGTTTTCAAGGAAACCCCCACAAACTATATATCAACAGAAAGGTTATAAAATGTGAAATTCGATAAAATTATGTTTTGTTTTGGATTTTGCTTTCCAAAGACGGCAGAGGCCATCAACTCCAAAATGACCGACTGACGTTCCAGCGAAATAATCGGGTATCAAATGCGATTGTTCATGCAAAATAACTGTGCAGTGTTTAACACAAAGCCTCAATCTCCGAAAACGTGTCAGCATTTTCTTTTATTTCTATTGGTTATCTTTCTATAGATCTGTCAAGTTTGACTATCGAAAAATTTGCGTAACCTGTTGCGTTAAAGGCCGCCACAAGAAAAGTATTTAAAATGTGGGAATTCGCCGACACGCTTTTGTTCCATATCTATCAGTGAATGTTCTGACTAAATTGCATGGAAAACCG